TCTCTTTTCCCTTTTCGATCCATGTTTCTACATCCTCATCTGTGCAGTCTATAGTTGAAAGAATGCTACCTAGATAAGTGAAAGAAGTGAACTGCTTCAAATTTCTTCCGTTGATAGTAATTGGTGCTTATTGTTGGTGGTTAGTGCATCAATATACTGGATCCATATGAAAACAGTTTTAGGTAGATTTGGATGTGGCTTATATTGTGTACGAACACTTACTATCCAGCTTTTTGTACACTATTTTTAAAAGATACTATTTGATGTCACAGTCAAACAAGGTGATATTATATCAAACACAACCTAACTGATATTTTTAATGTCTTTTAAACACAGGTCAGTTCATTCACTTATCTAGGCAGCTTCGTTCCAATTACAGGCACATAACACGGATAAAGATGTCAAAATCACAATCCGAGAATCAATACCAACCTTCATTACTCTGAAATCACTGCGGAAATCAGGTGCAGCCAGCGTTAAGAACGAGATTCGGATTTTCAACATCGATGTTTAGACAGTTCTTCTTGGCGCTTCACCAATATAAATTTCCAATAAACTGTTGCTCACTTTCATCATTAGCTGCCTTCTCTGGCTGCATACTGAACATGCAATGTCCTGAAAGGATCAGTGACAAGAAACTCTGGGAACAAACCAACTAAAAATCTATTGCTGAACGAATATGTAGAAAAAAAGTGGAGATGGATCGGGAACACGTTAAGAAGACCGTTGGATGATATCACCTGTCACATCCTAGAGTGAAACCCGAATGGGACATGACGAGTTTGGAGTATTCTGATGACTTAGAGGAGATTGTGAGGAGGCAATCACAGGGCCAGTTGAAGAGGACTGCAGAGAACAGGATAAGGTGTAGATGTCCTGTTAAAATCTTATGTTCCACTCAAAACCCAATGAAATAATAATAATTTGCTTTATTCCAGAAACAGTACTAGTGGTACAGTGTGAAATTCTCAGCACATATCTACAATATTTGCATCTAATTTTACAAAAATTTAAAAGGATTATTAAACAAAAAAATCTAAAGACACCAACAGCAAAAAAAACAGGATAAAACACAAAATAGTTATAAATGCGAAAAAGTACCAAGAAGTAGAAAGGAAAATAAACATCATATAATAATAACTCAGTATTGGGTAGTGGAAGCTATGATATGAATATGCATGGTGACAGTAAAGCTATAGTCATACAAGAAATTATGAAATGAAAACATAACGATAATACAACAAACAGAGTAATTATAATAGTAATCTAATCCATAGTGATTGTTGAATTCTTCTTCCAACAGACTATTCTAAAACACTCATTAGGACTACTATCAGGACAATGGTATAAATGACGAATCTGATGTTACTAACAATCAGTAACAGTGTCTAAGTACCGTTACTATGGAGGATTTTGTTGAATATTTTCGCAAAATAGATTAAATTTATGATATGGATAGTAAAATTGCTACATTTAATAAATGCCTACGCAATTCTGTCAAAAATTTCGTTTCACTCTAACAATTATAATGGTTGATTTTAAAAACCGGAATAACTGTAGCGTTAAGTACTACTTAACTAATATTATTTGGTTTAATCAACTACAGTGAAATAAAGTACTATGGAGATTTTCTAAAGATTTCAGCTATTCTGTATATCGTGAACTGATATATAAGTCATTATTATTATTATTGTTCTCTTGGGTTCCTAGTGGAACATAGGGCTTCAGCTATACGCCTCCACTTGCTTCTGTCTTCTGCTGTATTTTTCACCTGCATCCATGTTAGTCCATACTGTTTCAACTCCTCTTCACACGATCTCCTCCATCTCAACCTTGGACGTCCCACTCGCTGCTTCCCTTTCAGGTTCCACTCGAAGGCCTGACGCGCGATGTCACCCAGTAGCCTCTTCAGCGAGTGTCCAATCCATCTCCACTTTCTCCTGCATATTTGTTGGGTGATTGGTTCTTGTTTTGTTTCTTCCCATAGTCTCTTGTTGGTGATTCTTTCCGGCCATCTGATCTTCAGTATAGAGCGAAGACAGTTGTTGATAAAGGTCTGCAACAGGCTGTTGAAAATATTCTTTGTGACACACTGGCCAAGTTTCTGATCCGTATAGAAGAACTGACTGACTTGACGTTTGTATTGAAAATCCGAATTTTGTTGTTGATGGTGAGTTGAGTGACGAAGATTTCCAGATTGGTTTCAGGTTGATGAATGTGTTTCTTGCCTTCACGATTCTCGATTTGACATCCTCGTCCGTTCCTCCTGTAGTTGAGACAAGGCTCCTAGATAAGTGAATGAAGTAACCTCTTTCAAATCTCTCCCGTTGATGGTGATTGGCTCTGGATGTTGCTGCTGTTGATGTTGTTGTTGGTTGGTTATTTTCATAACTTCCGTCTTGTCTATGTTCACCTGGAGTCCTGTCTTTGCTGCTTCTTCTACCAGTTTGTCGGTTTTCGCTTGTAATTCTTCGATTTTGTGTGACATCAAACATAAATCATCCACGAAATCATAAGTCATATTCAGGTAAAATACGAGATGATGTATCAAAGAGTGATATCATCATTAACTTCTTGACATTGGTTGAAGCCTCCTTTTGGTATGTGTAAGTAATAGGATATAAGTCTGTTGTCAACTGCTTGCATAGTCAAAAAGAAGATAAATTTAGGTTTAGGTCCCTGCCATTTACACCACCATATTTTCATATCCGAACTTCCTGTTTATTTTGTCATTTTACTATTTCTACATATTTAATCCCTAATCGCATAAACAATTATTCGTCACATTAGTTATGATCCCACTGGATTTTTTATCCAAACATCCTGTCGATATTTGTTATTTCTACATTTCTAACCCCCAATTGCACAATATGTCAATATTCTCAGTAATTATAGTGCTACTTTGTTTGAGTTTTATCCGTCCTCCTGTTTATGATGGCATTTTGTAATCATGATTCATATTCAGAGTTTCAAAAGAAATCAAACTGGTCACTTACTATCTGTAACAAAATGGTCATTAACAGTTTCAGAATGCCATAGCACATATTACGAAACAGTAAATAAGTGAATACGTATGAGCTAGCTACGGTTCCTCAAAGTGCTAGACTCTATCCGTTATAAGAATAAGAGGTGGTACTCTAAAACAAAAAATCAGATCCTCTTAACACTCGTACTTTCAGCATTTCATAAATTGTGCTAGATGACCTGATTTCCTTTGATTTTGAAAACCAGCTATTTAATAGTGAATATTCATTTTTTTTCATATACCTTCCTAACTGTTTTAATGTATACGGTTATTCCATTGTAAGTTTATCGTGTGTTATCGTTATTTGACTCACACGGATCGGTAAAAAATAAACTAACTTCCATGAGTTCGTTTGTTGGGATTCGAGTAGTTCCAAGTTTGATTGGTTGGAGGATTTCATCATGAGCTGACATCAGTTAGAGAACCATTGAAAAACCTGCCAGTAGTACTGAACAAAAGCGTCGTCCTATTTTTGGGTCTCTTCATCAGTACGTACCCACCGTGCCTCGAAACCAGGACTTTCTGGTTTCAAGGCCAGAAAGCTCGTAGACCATTAACTCACTGGGACCCAGTCCAATGGCCCATGAATTCTAACTTCTGACAATTCATGACATAGCGCGACCACTAGCCAATGTCCCGAAACTTCGGATAAAACAGCTGTCCAGTACTCCCAGGATTTCTAGTGGCTCTCTAACTACTGTCAGCTCGTGATGAAATCTACCAACCAAACAAACAAAATCCCTACAAAAACCAATACTTGAAAATTGATCTGATGCTCACTCGTGATTCGCACTATTAACACAATTAACCTGGAGTTTTAGTGGGAAGCCGTGACCCGTAGGGTGCAGCCCGTTGAACGTGAGGCAGTAACTCATCGAAGAAGAAATTGAGGAGTGGTCGCGCTATGTCATGAATTGTCAGAAGTTAGAATTCATGGGCTGGCCACTGGACCGGGTCCCGGTGAGTTAATGGTCTACGGGCTCGCTGACCTTGAAAAGAGAAGGTCCTGGTTTCCAGACACGGTGGGCGCGTACTGCTGAAGAGACCCGAATTTAGGAGGACACGGCCGTCCAGTACTTTCTGCAGGTTTTCTAATGGCTTTCTAACTGATGTCAGCTCATGATGAAATCTACCAACCAATCAAACAAAATCCATACAAAAACAAATACTTGAAAACATTTTCAGGTTGGATCGTGGATTCGGAAACAAGGGAGTACTAGACATCTTTTTCTTCCTAGTGTGAGATTCGGTGCACAACCGCGGGGTTTCCAACAAACTCATGAAAATTAATCTGAGGCTTCCTGGTGACTGGCTACAGGAGGAAGCTGCATCGAGTTCTGATGAGAAGACGTGACCAGTGGAATCCACCCGGTCGGAAGTGAGGAAAAATACTCGCCTATGACGGCGGCTGGTGGTCGCATTAAAAGTCACGAAATGGTGGAAGTTAGAACTCATGGGCCATTGAATCGAGTCCAGTGGCTTAATGGTCTGCGACCTATTTTTGCAATCGTTAGCTCCTGGTTTGAAACCTGGTGGTTGCCTACTGCCAATGAATCCTATGCTAGGAAGAAGCGGCTGTCTAGTACTTCATGATTTTCAAAGGTTCTCTAACTGATATCAATCAGCAATCACAAAACTTGAAACAAACTAACTACTTGATGACGATTTCATTTTCAACCAACTTTAATTTTATGAAGTGTAACTGAACGCTGACAAAAAGTTCACTCTTCTGAAATACTTTACAGGAAATTGCGTAAGTATAATACGCCAGTTAATTTTTTAATGTAAATTCAATTCATACTAAAGAGTTTTCTCAAATTAATAAAAATTTCGCCTTCAAAACGAATAACAGTTAGGTGCAAAGCGCTTTTATAACATCGACTAGACAAATGAAAAGATGCCTCATGAAATACTGAACAATCATCAAATCCCTTTTTCATCCTTGGATAAAAATGTGTATGAAATAATGACTTACTCCAAACTCGAACACCAATGTTAATGATTCAGCCTCATAGATAACGTCATGTAGTTTTATAATATTCGCATGATTAAGTCCTCGTAATAAACTGATTTCGCGTATAGCTGTACACGGTGCACCTTCTGATTTTCTCATACGTATACGTTTCAGTGCCACTGGTTGTTTAGACACAAGACTGTAGCCTTTGTATACAGTTGCATATGTTCCCTGGAAAAAGGTGAAAGTAAGAAATTGAATATCACTTACTACAATGTTGACTTCTCAATTTTAAAAAAGTTTTTGCAGTTATATCAATTTACCGTTTACTTGTGAGGCGTTTAAACTTTATTCACAGTGTAACAAGGTTAATTATCTTGTGGAAACAAATCTTAGTAGTAGTTAGTCTCAGTAATTAACAATATATTGAACGCCCTGCTAACCATAGAAACAGTAATTATCACAAAGTTTCTCGTGTTTAATAATTCCTCTAGTAATTTCGATTAGTGATTTAAACTGTGTTGAAGTCTGATTGGATAATCAGCGCCCTATCTACAGAGTATGCGTTCTCCTTTTCATAAAGCGAACACATTTTTCACAATATTTGGCTGTGATGTATTATTATTTCTTTGGGTTACCAGTGGATCGTAAGCCTTCAGCAGTGCATCTCCATCTTTTTCTGTTCTCTACAGTGCTGTTCGTATGGCCCCACAATTACCGATTAGCTCTCATCTCCTCTTAACAACCTCCTCCATGTCACCTACAGACCTACGTCCAACTCGTTGTTTCTCATTCGGTTCCATTGGAGTGATGGCCTGGAGCGTGATGGCACTCAACGGCCTGCTCAGCGTATTTTCAATCCATCCTCATTTCTTTCGGAATATTTTTCGAGCAATAAGTTCTTGATTGATCCGTTCTCAGAGTTACTTGTCACTAGTTCTTTCTGGTCATTTGATCTTCAGTATGGAGCCAGAGAAGGCAGCTGTTGATAAAAGTGAGCAACAGTTGGTTGGAAATTCACTTCGTGAAGTGCCAAGAAGAACTGTCTTAACATCGGTATTGAAAATCCGAATCTTGTTTTTGATGCTAACTGCAACCGATTTCCACAGTGATATGAGAATAATGAAGGTTTGTGTTGCTTCTCGGATTGTGGTGTTGACATCTTTATCTGTGTCGTGTGCCTATAGTCGAAACGACACTGTCTAGATAAGTGAAGAAAGTGACCTACTTCAAAATTTCTCCCTTTGGTAGAGATTGGTGCTTGTTGATGCAGTTGGGTGGTTATTTTTGCCATCTCCGTCTTCTCTATGTCTACCTGAAGTTCTGTCTTTTCTGCTTCTTCTGACAACCAGTTGGCTTTCACCTGTAAGACTTCAAATTTATTTGACATTCGGCATATATCACTGAATTTTGTCAACATTAATGGCGTATGATCCTTATTTATACTTGATAGTCCAAATTATCATGTTGTTTATAATAAACTAAAAGAAAGATTACCCATTTTAGCCTTTTCCTAAAACGTTTAGGTTTTCCAAGACTAAACGCAGATATCTCTTTTACCTTTCTTGAGTACTTTCTTAATTCAGACCATTTTTGATGTCCAAATGTTCGGATGGTGTTTAAATTGTAAATTAAACCATAAAAAAATCCCAGACAGTGTAAAATTGCTAGAGTACAGATAAGCTTCGTCTAAACAGATTATAAAACACTAGTTGTTTTTGAATGATTCAAGGTATTAATTTCGTTATTAAATAACGTATTTCACTGTGGGGTTTTCTGTTTTAAAATGGCAGTGCAAAGTATTCAACGTTACATTTAAGTAGCATGATACATAGATAGACCCGAAAAGTATGATCACTATTTCCAGCCTTTCCCCACATAGCTATCAAAAAGAGAAACTAGACTGATCAGGAGTTCCATTCTTGAACACTTTGTTCTTACACAACATCAACAGAGATGTCTTTCAAAGTGATATTTACGGTAAGGCCTAATCGCTCGAGGGGTTTCTGACTACATTTTTTACTATCTACAACGGAAGCTGTCGCCTCACACAAAGAAAACCTTGAGCTTTGTAAACAGAAGAAGCCCTTCCGACTCCTTCTATGACTATGGTCTTAAACTATTTCTTGACTTGTACAACAAATTGATTTGAAGTCCATTTTTTATTTGTTGTTTCCTTCTTCCTTCTTAAACTTGCAATATAATTATATCCTTTATGCATATTTTGAGTTGCTCACTCTTATGATGAATATTCGTCACAGTCTTAATGATAACCCTTTGTGAACGACACTCATCCGTTCAAATTTTCTAGATGACGTAAGAATACTTCATTAAGTTTTGTAACCTATTCCCTAGTTTTCCTAATATGTAACTTTATATGTTTTTTTACTAGAAGATATTAACAACTGACCTTTACGGGGGGTTTCCATAACCTTTTATAACACTACATAATAGTACACTTTAGAAGTTAAGAGAACACTATTCTCCACTGAGCCATGACTTTTTAACTTCAAGCTGCGTTAGTATAATCTATACACCACACTCTAGACTTCGGCGAAAGCTTTACATTTTGAACAATCTGATCACCCATCTAATCATTACGCAGTGAAACACATGAATTATATATGCATATCGTTTCATCCATGTATAAATGTATGACTAACCTTCGGATATCACTTTAATTGCAGCCTTATTTTATTCGCTGTGCAATTAAAAATGGTCCTAAATTTTAACAAGTTCTAAATAAAGCTGTCTGAAAGGCCTACAGTCACGTAGTTGTATGCTACTTCACACCATTTGTGGTATTTTTTTTTACCAAAACTGTTAATCCTTTAGTGGAATTATGTGTGGTATGATTTGCGTGTCTCAATTATCCAGTGTTAAGATACCAGTTTTAATCTCTTGATGATTAGAACAAAAAGGTAGTTTACAGATTTTAAGACAATGGTATTTCTTCTTTGTATCTTGTCATCAAATTTTAGTTCTATTGTTTCAAAACACTGTTATCGATAGAACCGATTAGATAGGCTTAAAAGCCGTATTGTATGTGAGATGAGACAGAAAATATGACACAGATGAGAAGAGAGAGTTGTAAGTAGATTAGTGTTTCCAAAAATCAGTTAAAGAGAATATCTATTAGACTAAACTAAAATGTTTGTCAGTAACACATTACATAAAGTTTAAGTAACCTAGTATATTTTCAGTTCGTTTGTCCTTTCCCGCTTACTTTGCTTCGTGTAATATCTGTATATTTAGACAGATACCTTTATTTACAAATCATATTTGTCTAGATGTGATATTATTGTCAACACAACCTGGTAATTCACGAGTTACTCACACTAGTGAATATTCTAACCGGTAGATTTACGAGCCAGACTGTTTTAATCATAATTCTCAAAAACAACCACCACGTCATGATATCTCCGACACAGGAAGACAATACAGCTTTCACTGTCTCGAATCAACAACCACAAGGCTTGACAGCAATTCTGTATATACAGCTTTTTAAATGACCTTGGAAGACGACAATTTCATTGATAAATTAAAACAATAAACCATCAATTCGGTTCAGCCATTAAAAGGAGGGAAATAAAAAAGATCACGGTACTGTATATAAAGGTAATAGCGTAAGACTTTGGAGAAATCAGGTGTACATAACCAGGTGGTTCAGACACTTGCATTTGCTAATTTGTAGCCCTTTATATGAACAGAAATATGAAAAACGACATTATAATTGCTGTTACTTGGCAAATGTGCTATCAGTTAAGAGGAGGCCTGGACTGTTTATGCAAACCTAGGAAATTTGATTGGTGATATTCGATAAAGCGGTATTCATTTCGCTTGAATTTTATGACATCATTAGAAGATTAATGAATATTATTGAAAGAAAGCATAGGCAAACACTTACCTCACCCAGCTTTTCATAGGTTTTGTAGGAAGAAATTCTACCATATCCTTTTTCATGCTGAAAGTTTGAAAGAATTAAAATAAAAAGTCAGTGCTTACTAAATCCGTTAATTAAAAATCCTTATAGTGTAGTCAAAACAAGATGATTTGGGGTGAACAATTGTTTCCGATAAATTCTTCTTCAGACTCTACAGTTATAAATTCATGAATATTATAATACAAATAGCTATTAAAGGCATGTGATATGATACTCCACATGCCTTTAATAGCTATTTGTATTATAATATTCATGAATTTATAACTGTAGAGTCTGAAGAAGAATTTATGGAAAACAATTGTTCGCTCCATATCATCTTGTTTTGATTAAGTTTCTTAAATTATTATCTAAAGATGCTTAAATATAAATACCAAGCTTCAATTTCCCACAGTGCAATTTCTACTCGAATGGTCATTGAGCAACTCTGTAAGTCTTAGTTGATATTCTTCAACAATAATTTGAACTTTGTCAGTAAAAAATGTTTTCAAGTGTTGGTTTGTAGGGATTTGGTTGATTGGTTACAGGATTTCATCATGAGCTGACATCAGTTAAAGAACCATTGGAAAACCTGGGAGTACTGGACAGCTGTTTCGTCCTAGTTTGGGACTCTTCATCAGTACGCACCCACCGGGATTCGAACCCAGGACCTTCTGGTTACAAGGCTAGCGAGCTCGTATACCACTAAGCCACTGGGACCAGATCCAATGGCCCATGAATTCTAACTTCTGCCAATTCACCATATAGCGCAACCGCTAGCCAATGTCTTCGGCGAGTATTTGTCCTCACACCCGACCTGCTGCACCCTACTGGTCACGACTTCTCACTAGAACCCCAGGTGACTACCTACCTGAATAGCGCCAGTCGACAGTGATCATCTCAATGGTTCCCTAACCAATGTCAGCTCATGATGAAATCCTGTCACCAAAGAATTTTTTTTTTGTTCACTTGTTTTCTGAGGTAAACTTAGGGTTAATAGCTTGAGTCTTGAAGTTTCAGTAACAATGGTTTTTACTTTTCATTGAACAGGTTTGCTAGGCTCCTGCCCTAACCTCCCACTTTACCAGCCAGGTGAGGTATAAGAGTGCGTCGGCTGAGGATCGAACCCGTACCAAGCACGTGGTTGGAGGATAGAAAGCGATATGCATTATCATCAGTAATTCTGTTTTGAGTGGAATACACTTTATGTTTTCATTCAGTGGAAACAGAATAGTACAAGTTTCAAAAAATCCCTTTTAACCATTAATATAAAAGTCAATCCACCAACGATTTCAGTGAAATCCCTTTAGTACATAATTGGTTAAGCATCAAGTCCTAAGTGCCTGCCTAAAACAGAAGTAGTAAAACTGAAACCAGTCTTTGACAAAATTAGCATCCCGAAAATGATTAGTATTTAGTATCAATGTAGAATACAATAAAAAAACTAAACGGTTTTGATAGTTATTCAAAGCAGTTAAAAATTCAACTGATTGAAACAGGACAATCGAATAATTAACCTTCATGAAAGAACGGACACATAAAACACTCATCACAAAAGTTCATTTTTCACCAAATTGTAAATCAAACCAAAGCTGATGGTTGCAATCATGCTGAAATTCCTTTCACGTAACAAAAATAACCCAAAGTAGATCACTGTAGCTGAATAGTGATTTTCGAGCATTTCGAGGATTAGTAATAAATAATTAAATGCTAATTTCTTTTGTATTATTATTATTGTCTCTTTTAGTTCTTAGAAGAATATATGATTTCAGCCGCACATATCCATTGCGCTCTCTCCTTTGCCAACGTTTTCACCTGTCTACACGTCTGCCCACATGCTTTCATCTCCTCTTCACATCACCTCCTCCATGTCACCCGACCTTCGCATTGACGATCAGTTCGCCGCTTCCCATTCGGCCTGGCATGTGATGTCACTTGATGGTTTTCTCAAAGTATGGCCAATCCATCTCCATTTCTTCCTGCATATTTGTTGCACAATTGGTTCCTGCTGGATTGGTTCGCTCCCAGAGATCTCTGTTGCTGATCTTTTCTGGCCATCTGATCTTGAGTATTGAGCGAAGACAACTGTTGATGAAGGTGTGTAGTTTGTTTGAGATGCTCTTTATGACGCGCAGTGCAAGTCTCTGATCCGTATAGTAGCACTGACTTCACATTGGAGTTGAAAATCCGGATTTTATTTTTGATTCTGAGTGCTGTTTATCTCCACACAGACTTGAGAGTAGTGAAAGCTTGTCTTGCTTTTCCGATTCTTGCTTTGATATCCTCGTCAGTTCCGCCTGTAGTTGAAATGATGCTTCCCAGGTAGGTAAAAGAGGTTGTTTCTTTCAGGTTCCTTCCATTTATGCTGATTGTTGTCTGTTGTTGTTGCTGTTCGTGGTGATGCCCAGGAATCTGCGTCACCTGTGTTTTCTCTATGTTCACCTGAAGTCCCATCTTCTCTGGATGCTTCTTCTTCCAACTTGTTGCTTTTCACTTGCATATCTTCCAGTTTGTGAGAAATCAGACATATATCATCGTCGAAGTCCAGATGCTCCAAGTTTTTTGTGTGAGTCCATTCTATGCCTGTTTCCTCATTGCCCGCTATCTGTCACATTACCAAGTTTACCGTAATTAAGAAAATCATTGGAGATGGTAGGCAGCCTTGTCTTACTTCCGTCTTCACTTCGAAGGATTTCGTTAGTTTCCCGTTGTGGATTACTTAGCATGCGGCATTATCGTACAGCTGTTGGATGAGATGTATAATCGTTGGTGGTACCCCGTAGTAGCGAAGTAGTTTCCAAATCATCTGGCGATAGACGCTGTCGAAAGCCTTTTCGAAGTCGATGAAGTTGAGAGAGCTGACTGCTATTTCCAAGCTCTGTTCAATGATGATACTTAATGTTACTATTTGATCGATGCATGACTTGTTCCTCCTGAATCCAGCCTGTTTCGGTCGAAGTTTTTCCTCCAGGGTGTGTTTAATTCTCTTAAGGAGGATGCAGCTTAGTATTTTACTTGAGGTAGACAGAAATATAATACCGTGCCAATTATAGCATTGACTTAAGTTTCCTTTCTTTGGCAGTATGAATAGGTAGCCTTCCTCCAATCCGCAGGTACTTTGCTCTCTTTCCACACCTTCTCCATAGTGGTGTCATCAAGTCAACTGATGTCTCTGGATTCATAAACAGTTCTTCTGTGGGGATTCCGACTGATCATGCTGCTTTTCCATTTTTTAGCATATTTATGGCCTTCATGACTTCTGCTTTCGTCGGAGACTTGGTATGCACTGGCAGTTCTGCTTCCACTGTTGGTATTATTGGGCAAATTGTAGTTGGCGATCGATTAAGAAGTCTTTCGAAGTATTCAGCTCAGTGTTTTCTTTGTACGTATATTTTCTTCTGTACATATGTTAAAATAGTTACTTGCTATTTTGAGGCTAAAATTATTCTCCAAAATAAACTATTGGAAATCTATCTTGATAAAACAAGAAAGACCATTTTTTGCAGTATAAAACGATATCATTCTATTTTACAGGTTCTCATCATCTGCGAACTACTTGAAATTACAGTAGCTATAAAAAGAATAAAAATAACACAATTCAATGTTTGAATGGTAGTCAATGCATTTGAAATGTAAGCTTCCACGCGATTAAGCTCTTGACACTATACAGCACTGCATGCTCCACAAGCCAACCTAAACTGGACATGTACCCTGCTGATGTCGTCTCCAACTGCGGTTTTAAATTTACAGGCACTTGTGATAGCAAGTACATTGGAAGGAAAGAAAGATGGGCTTCTATTGAATCTTCTGAGCATATTCCTAGATACTTACGTCCTAAAGTAGACAAATACTCGCAAAGTGCAATTACTAGGCACCTCATATTTCGTCGAGATTTCCTAATCCTTCAAAATATTAAATATAAAAGGGACAGAAAACTTACTACTACTCGCTGAAGCAGTTGCAATCAAATGTTTCAAACCAAACTTATGTATACAGAAACAGGTTGTGATTAATCTCTCACTCCGTTGGTAATTGCATTTTGATTACATTGATTAGTCATCTATATCAGTAATTCCAGCTCATTGAGCAAATTTTGGTGCTATGAACGAAAACCTTCTCGAGTTGCTTTTTGAACTTTTAAGCTGACGCTGTTGATTACGTTTTCCTGTCTTCTGCCTCCACATCCTTCCTTTTCTACTTTAAAAGCATATAAAATGATGGTAACTTAAACTAAAATTTGCAATCTTTACGTTTTAGATGCACTAATTTTTAGAACATTTTCTCGACTGTCATTCAAACATTGAAGTGTTTTATTTTCATATTTTTTTATATAACTGTTGTTATTTCAGGTAGTTTGCAGGTGATAAGAACCTGTGAAATGTGATTGATATCACTTTATACTATAGATAATGGTCTTTGTTGCTTTATCAGAATTAATTCTGGATTCGTTATGGTACTTTATTTAGCAGTTATATCTCTAGTCAATTGAAAATTCGAGGAAATAAACGCTCAGACTTTGTTTTAAGTGTTAGATTGTAAAGATCTCATTGGTTTATAGGCTTTTAGTGATTCTTAAATCAAATTCAGAATTCTCAACGCACACAGAAATTTTCACCGTAGTTTCCTTTGGAAACCAAATTATTCAGATCACAGTAGGTGATCTGGCTGATACCATAAGAATGCAGTCGTATTTGAATACAACTATATACCACGCATTCCAACCAGTAGTGCTGACTAGATAGATCAGATTGATCTAAGCACCGGACTGGCGGTTTCCCTCATTTGGGGCCGAAATAACCAGCAGTCCACCGGGGGAAGCCGAATCAATGCAAACCACAAAGTTTTGGCTAGTTAGCTACTTGAGAGAACTGGTGGTGCCATAAGTCCAGTCCCTAATTTGTAAATTAGTTAGTAACTTTCAGTGCGATGTCAAGCCTGAGCATACCGCTTACCAGCTTGGCCCCAAACGAGTGATTCAGATATCCGGTGCCTAGATCACTTCTGTTTGGCTAGTCAGTGCCACTTTTTGACATAAGTGGTACATG